TTATCAGGTACCGATAAAGTGTCCCTCACCGACGAAGTCTGATGCCTCTCATCAGGTGCATGACGAAGTGTCAGTGTGGCAGCATGCCGAATGTTTGAGTTCCATGGTTTTTTGTGAATAATTTTCACCTCGCCTGTCAAGCGCGGTCTCCTGCTGGTGTGCGATGGAGGTAGAGCCCGACGGAAGACTACCGGACACTGGAATGACCACGGGTGTTGCTTCCAGGAAGCGCTACAGCTCCGAGAGCGGCACTGACAGCGATGACACTCTACCCGGCCACGTCAGCAATGAAGAATCAGGGGACGACAACTTCAAGCTCGTGAGAAACCACAAGGGAAAGAGACTATATTTCTGAGCACGTCATCCAATTCGAGTGAACCCACCATGCGATCTTCGCGGAATACTGAGTTATTAACCATCCTCTTCACGCCAGTTATCGGTAGTGACAACATCAGACGCCTTAACCAGTAAGCCGTGTGTGTACTAGCACTGGTGCCAAACGAGCCCCGCCGCGGTGGTCAAGTGGCTAAGGTACTCGGCTGCTGACCCGCAGGTAGCGAGATCGAATCCCGGCTGTGGCGGCTGCATTTCCGATGGAGGCGGAAATGTTGTAGGACCGTGTGCTCAGATTTGGGTGCACGTTAAAGAACCCCAGGTGGTCGAAATTTCCGGAGCCCTTCACTACGGCGTCTCTCATAATCATGTGGTGGTTTTGGGACGCTAAGCTCCACAAATCAATCAATAAATCTGGGGCCGAACGAAGTAAAAGAAAGTCAGACTGAATAGCCGCAAGAACATTCTAGCGATTGACATCAATCATGCGACTGTGCTTGACAGACTGCGTGAAACAACGGAACTTAATGGGATGAAAATCCGCTCTCTTATACCGCTGGGCAAAGAAGTCAGCCCTGGGATAATAGATGATATTGCTGAAGCCATTACTAACGCGGACCTACGAGTCTTGATTAAACTGGCTTCGGAAGATGCCATTATTGCAAGTATATGTCGTATAAGAACATCACGATGCGTAAGAATTTTGCAGGATAGCGATTGCGGACAGCGGCAGCGGACAACTACGGCATGCGCGACCCTTGTCGTGATCTCGTAACAGCTTTCGTTTTAAAATAAAAAAAAAGCCAGGCCTGAGCGAAAAGCGCAGCATAGTCATAGCTCAAGCTAGAAGAGCGGCATTTATAGAACCCGTTGCAACCTCTCTTGGGACTACTAATACAACTACGCTCGCAAAGCAGCCACTACACCATAAATAACGCGCAGGCTCATAACGGCGAAGAAATCGCGGCAACCTTGTCATTTCATAACAACCTTCACAGCAAAAAAAGCAAAGAGCCTTTTATGAGGTACGCTATGTTATACTATGTCAAATGAAAGCGATCCCTTCTAATATTTGGTATGCTTCGCGGCATAATGACACTGCATTGCGGTAGAGCTGAAAAGTTTCCTCTTCACCATGAGATGGCTGCAAAGCTTTTGTTTCAGTTACTTAATTACCCAGGCAAGTTACCCAGGCAAGCGTACTTTTTTAGGCTTTCATACTTGAAGAGCAAGCATATCTAGAAACAAGTAGAATGTACACCTGCAGACCACACAATTTATGCGCAAGCTATATACCGAGAACGAATTGGGATGAAACATCAGTTTGACTATTATTTGCCAGGGTGAAAATAATGCTGCATATTGTGTTAATTTGTGACCCCCCCCCCCCCCACCCATTTTCCCTCATTGCGAGTGCTTCCTCATCACTTCCATATGCGCATAAGGGGTCCCGTAAGGGGTCCACAAGTGATGCCATTGTTCCTAAAGGAGGTATCCATGGATGGAAACCACTGCTCCGACTGCTGTCCTTCAACGCCAGTCAGTCACTCGTGCCGCCGCTGCAGTTTACGCATGGAATCCAGGCCGCATGTTTTCTAGAGTGAGTCTTTCATACTAAGAGCCTTCACATAGAGTCACTGTGTTGAGGATGCCATAAAGACACAGCATACGCATAAACACACAGTGATATCGCTGCGCGGATACCTCGATCGGAATAGTTGCCAGACTTTTTTCGCGGCATCTAAGCCCACTTGCGAAAATTCGTGCAGCATAAAAAGTAACCGGCCGCTGCCCACTCATCCAAAAAGCTGCCTTCGCCCGGGCATTTCGGCCACGCGAACAGGTACGCTCGTCTTTTCAATGCTGCACGCATTAAGCGGGGCGCAGTGTGGCCCTCGTGATAAAGAGCAAGCAGGCAAGTATTTTCCAAAAGTACCAAACACACACACACACACGAACTCGTGAAAGCGGTATGATGCTGGCGCTCCACATTTCAGTTGACTGCGTCGACGCTCGTAATAAAAGACAAGCCATCAACAAAAGTGGAAAGTGTCGTCATTCTTGACTTCTCTGTGTACGCTAGAAATTCCAACGCTGCCTGCAAGACATGTGAATACATATATTTTTTTCAATGCGACCACCCTACTTTTTTTATCCAATGGCTTTCAAGCTGTCGCACGAGGCATTCTATGGTGAATTGTGTCATCACAAAATTTGGTAGGCCATTTGGCAAAGAAAAAAAAATTGCTTAGGCGCGGCTCGTGTGACTACATTATCCACTTATTTTTGTGAGAACAAGTTTGAGAAGTAGCTATGGACGTTGGATGTGCGAATGTACCGGTCTCTTCAAAAACATTTTCATTATCTTATACAATATGGAAAGAATGAGTAACCCTGCCGTTTATAACGCAAAAGCCCGTTTCGGTGCGTGCGTACTAGACGTTGAACGACATAATTTATCGCAGCACTTTACGCTACCTAAGTTGTAGCATTGTCAAGCGAAAAGAGCCATCCACGACACTGTGTTGATTAACAACTTGCGCCGTTTGCAAATGCAATAAACAGAACTGACTACGCCCAGCTTCATCGAAAATATTTTGTCAACAATGTCTTTTGTATGGAGATCTTAAGTTCTCTGCGTTTTGTAGAGTCCCTCCCATCATCATCGTCTTTGTCAAATTAGAGTATTTCCTCTAGACAGCTTTCCTAAGAGAAGAAGATACCCGAGTCGTGGCTTTACGCGTAGCAGGCCAGCAAGGTGACGCGAGCATTTTGTAATGATTCTTTTTTTTTACTTATCGGATTAAGCGACCACTTGTAAGCGTGCAATGGACGGGCACACATTTACTCCGACGGTTCTTTTTTGTTTTAATCCCTTCCCCAGTTTAGGGTAGCAAACCTCCTCCTTCTTTTAGAGCGTAGGCTTTTCCACACTGCGTAATCCTCGAGTTTCCAGGTTTCTGCCCCTGACAGGAGTGGTACAAATGTGTGCTCCCTCGGACGGAGACGAGATGACGACGTGCACAGCAGAGAATGCAGGACGTCGATGGCCGCCAACTGTCTCGTAAGTGCGGGACGCAGCGGAGCGCAGACGGGCGCTCATGCCCGGTTGGACAAGCTCAATCCTGTCGCATGTGTCACTCAGGCGAAGAGAATTTGCGCAACGTAGATGGCTCCTCCTGCTCGTTTCCTACTTCCTCCTATCTAGCCTCGAAAATAAAAGTTATAGGCCTACAGAGCGAGTTCTGGCAGCATTGTTACACTCAACGTTTCCTGTTATATTTTCACGGTAGCTGGGATTTACCGGTATTACCCTAATCGAAAGTGGTCGAAGAGAGCAGTCGCCTTCACGAGAATGAGGTAGATCAAGGCTTCATAACGGGTTCCTTTCCTACTACAATATTAACACGGAAAGATACCTATAATGCCCTCGAACCTTCTTTCTTTAGAAAATGTGGACTTCCTGCGCTGGCAGAAATAAAGAAGGGAGACAGGATAGAGTGCACTTATTTCTGCTTGCGCAGCATGTCTACAAATTTTAGTATGAACAAACTAATTGGCAAGGAAGGCACTAGGCAGTGAGGCGATATACTATTTAGGGCGTTCTAATTTCTTATTTGTTGTTTTCTATGTTCTTAGAACCACGTGCTTATATACTTTGTGATCACAACTACTGCGCTATACGTATTATTACTTCATTTGCACACATAGTTACACAAGCACACAACAAGATAGAGGGAGAGAGCAAGCTTTGAATATAACCTCAATCCTAAGTTCCGTCTGACGAAGGCAGGCTCACGACTCGGAACGTTAAAAACAATCTACATTTTGTTTCTTTCTCATCAACTTCTCAATTTTATTCATTCTTGTAGTTTACATTTTTTCTCTGTAGTGTGCTCGTGCTTCTTATCCTGTGCGTGTGTGAACAGTGAGCGAATATGTAGAAGTTACATTTCAAATAACACCACCATTTTGATTCGTCGACTAACTGTATTACGCGAACTTTCTGTTATTTATAACTTGGCACTTCTCTCACCAGTTTTATTTCGTTTTTACGCACACTTGCAAACCGAAAAACGAATTAATTGCTTGTTTTTTTTATAATGATCATTGCTTCGAGTGCCTCCTTTGAGGTTCTTGCTTTAATTCTATAATTGCCCAGTGCTAATGCAATCGTACAACCTTACTTTTTTACTTACGACGTTCACAGTCTCTCGACAATTATACTTAGAAAACGTGCCGTTATGTTTTTTTCTTCCTTGCCATTGTTTATCAAGTATTTGCTAGCTCGGTATTTACTTGGTAACTTTTTATAACGCTTTATATTACCCCTGTGTCTGGTATACTCTCACCTTAGTGGGCCACGATCGAAAATAAATACAAAATATTCGACTCACATTGATACAAGTACAATAAAGCAGGGCTACAATGCGCAGCTCATCGAAAATCCGATAGTGCTACTGACGGTGCTGAGTGGTTGATAGAGCTCAAAACATCCTACAACTTGCCAAAAGAAGGAAAGATCAAAAGAATAGAAGTTTTTGGCCATGCAAGATCCCTAATTCGCGCAGCCTGCGCTGTTTTTTGGAAAAGGAGAATTTCGCTAGCATACAATTCATTGTGTGCGCACTCACGCTGTGAAGTAGACGGAAGTAAACGTGGCTTACCGAGAGCGCCGAGTGGAGGGGTCTTTCATCACCATGACTTCAGTGATGTCGCCAAACTTGCTGAAGTACTCCCGTAATCCTTCTGTAAAAGCAGACAACGAAACAGTCACCACAAAGCGAAAAGATTGGAAGCCATGTTTTCCCCCCTAAAACATGTTTCCCACATTTAAAAAATAATTACAGCGCTGGCTTACGACCCATTGACACACACACACCAAAAGTAAAGCGCTTTTTTTAATGAGTAACCAACTTGTTTAACAAAATGTTCTTTTATGTCTCCCACAGGCCACGCCCTCTTGTTAATTACACGCCCAGCATCGAAATTGCGCAGCACGATTGTGCTGTGCATTATGTCCACATATCCTTAAAATCTACGATTCAGCTCACAGGAGAAACATGTCCAACATTGGTTTACTCGAGGATGGTGCCAATGGACGATGCTACACTCCTTTCTTTCTACGTTTTATGTTACCGGTCCATCGCATGTGTAGATACTGCCTTGCGCAAGCCCCATGCCAGAATCTCTGGGAGCATTCCACATTATTTCAAGGTCATGTGTTACGCTTGAGCACGCAAATGCGTACAGCTGCGTTCATTCTTGAACAAACTCGCCCACCAGAAATAACGCCAGAATCTTCAATGCCGCATGTATAAACGCCGACGCGCCTCGCCGCGGTTCAGATTGTTGACGCCCGACGCTTTGTTCACCGGTATTAGTGCACACCACAGTGTGCATTGCTGTAGTTTGACCTTGCGTTTCACGGCCACAAGTTGGACGAAATGAAGGTTTCCATTTTAGACACGCTGCCTTCACGATGATGCAAGTGTTGCTCGTCGTGACAGCAAACAGTAATGCTTTATTTTTTTTTCTAAGCATCGACTTATTCGAGCTAGGTGCAACTATGTTTGCCGGCCCGATTCCAACGTAGCTCGGGAATAAATGCCGCGATTCATTTCTTTCCCAGCGACGAGGTGCACTCCTGAACACGTCGGAATCGGAGCGTTTACACGTACTGCATGCGTATATTTCGTCAGCGAGAAACAAAGGACTCTCCAGGCGTGCCATCCGGTTCACAAGGTGAGCGACGCACACATCGATCGCAGTGGCTGCCGACCCAATTGAAGCGCCTACAGACATCGCATACCGGTCGAACACGACATGAAACAAATGTGCGTTACGAAAACATTACCAGAAATTCAGTGAATAAGCGTCGTCACCGGCCAACCCACGCGGAAGAGCGGCTCATGCAACTAACGTGCTGCATAAACCCACGTGCACTTCGCCTGACGCCAAAATAAACGCACACGCATGAGCACAGCTGGATTTTATCTGTTTTCATTTTGCTGATATCGTGCGTAGTTCACACAACCTCGAGAGTTCCCGTCATTTCTTGCAAATAAGCTAATCGCATTATTCGACCTTGGCAAATGTCAAATCCCTTGTGGTACATCACGCGTGGAAATACAAGCTAACAAGAAACTTCAGTTTATGTCGGCTCAGTGGGACGCTTTAAAAAGTTGCTGTAAAACGGTACAGACCACGCTACGGTTCAGCAGCATTTTCACGTTCCGAATTCGCATACCATAATCTCTAAAACATTTTAGCTGCGTGAGTTGCTCGATTCACGCAGTAACGCGATCATGATGAGAGTGGCCAATGTGAGTTTTGCGAAGTAGGGCAGCTAATTGGTTATAACGAAATAATCATTTCGCCGAGTGTCCTTGGCATTCAAAAGTTGTATACAGCCCGCTCATTCAGAATAACGCCACCACCCAGTAATTTGCACTAATAAAGTATATCCCAACTGTTTGAACATATATATATATATATATATATATATATATATATATATATATATATATATATATATATATATATATATATATATATATATATATATATATATATATATATATATATATATACGTGTGTGTGTGTGTGTGTGTGTGTGTGTGTGTTTGCGGAGAGACTAAATTCATCAATTCATCTTGCTTGTATCATCATCACAAAAAGAATAAATCAGTTTAAGGATAGCAGCGCTCAACGTCGCGACGATAGGACCGATGAAGAATAACACAAACCAAGTACGAGCCCCCTTTCACTAGGCGCGCATTTTACCGAATTCAGTTGCCATACGGTATAAAGTTCACGCATGCGCACTCTTTGGTGGGGACGGTGTTACTGAACGGTAAACCAGCAATGACAAATCACCCTAGGCCCGTATTCACAAACCTATCTTATCCTTCTCACTCGGCTTACCTATCGTTTCTGCTTCTTTATTTGGCTTCACAGAGAAATGTGAAAGCAAGCTTTGGAAACTCATCGGTTAGCTTTTGTCCAGCTTACTATTTGTGTGCGCTTAAGATAGAAGAAGGATAAGTAAGGTCCTGGGTATAAGGATAAGGTCGATCTGTGAACACGCACATTGGTATCGTGGCGTGTCGCTGCCAAAACAGGGTTCGAGCACGCGCCGCATACCAACGCGAGCGGAAAGCGAAGATTTCATATTTTTTGGCATAAGCCTACGGCTGCGGTTAAGACACCACGGCACACATTAAGACGATAACGTGATTTTTAAATCACAATCTCTTTTTAGGGGCGAAACTCCTTACGGCAAGGGCAGTCCATCCCTCCGGCGTAGCCAGCGCAGCATATCCACACAGACGGGCAGACAGACAGGCAGACAGACGGACGGACGGACGGACGCACGGACGCACTCTTCACCCGCTCATCATCATTCACTACGCGGATATGCTGGGATGTGCTTTTTTGTGCAGAGTACACAAGACGCCGCTGAAAGTGTCATGCTAAGCCACGATTTGGTTCACCAAGTCGAAGGTATATATATATACGACTACTGCAGTCAGACACGGTAACAGGCCTAGGAAACTCAGCGCTAGATTCGGAAGTGTGGCTAGTTGGTATGGCATGACGATAGATATAGCACGAGAACAAAACGTGTCGTTCGTGTCCTTCTTGTCTCTGTGTCGTCGTTTTGTTCTCGCGCTATATCTATCGTCATGCTAGATTCGGGTTCATGGAACGTGAGCGCTCCTACCGGTTGCCAGGTATCTTATAAGATCTAACAGAACAAAGTGAAGTTAGCCTAGATTTTCGCATTTATTCCCTTTACTGTATTTACAAATGAAGAAATTTTACATTTGACTGAAGTGATCCTTTATTCATTTGTATTTTTATTTATTCGTTATTTTGTGAATTTTTTCCTCTACCACTCTTTGCCGCTTGCTCAGCGATATCCCATGTTGGATCTCGCTCGATCATGTCGCTCGGTTAGCCTGCCCAGCATGAATACGGACGGGGAAATATTAGAAATTTGATGTGGCATTAGCGAACGCACGCCGCAGTAGGGCTTGTCAGTTGGGTAAACTATGCTTTAGACGAAGATGGCTAAATCAGGGCATTAAATGCTTTTGCGGCTCAGCAGTGTGTTAATTTAGGGATTTCCACTTCCGCGAATGTTTTCAGGGTTTCCTAGCGAGCACGCGTGAGCACAAGCACTTGGGCGGTTATTTGAGCAGGTATTCATTTTTCATGCCACCATAGCAAAAAGACGTGCCCATTCTGTAGCACTGTACATGCCTCATCTGTACTCCTAACCTCACTGAGCCTAATTACATTCCATTTAACACCTTCTAGTTCCTCGGATAGCACAGCTAGACTTGCCCAACTAAGACAAGGTTCTAGCGTTAAACGTTGCCAAGTTCAGGTTCCAATGGAGGCGTGTTCGGACTCAGAGACTCTTAGCACCCTTAGCTGCGTCGCAGATAGGAGCACCGACGTTGTCAGTTGCTTCGAAGCCGCTGGGGACTGAAGGCCGAGGGTTAATTGGCATCAACGATTCGGCGTGAGGCGACAGAGGACGAGCTGGACGTTCGTAGCGACGGTCAGCATATAGTCGAGGCGATGAATTCCAGCGGCTACGGCAACGGAGGGAGAGCTGGCCGATCCGGGAGCACACGAAGCAGGTTGGTCCGTCATTCGGCGTTCGCAACACCGATAGGTTTCGGTACCGGTTCAAGGAATACTGTCGGGGCGTAGCAGAGGCAATGATCGGGGCGGTCGAGGTGGGACGAGGGCTAACGGTGGGTGGTGTGTCCATATTCGCAATCTCTTGGCGAACAACAGCTTGGATGACACTGATTGTCCGGTTGTCACGCGTGTCAGCACCACGAGAGCTTGGAGCCATTGCATCAAGTTCGCGACGTCTGGCTTGCGTCAAGCTTAATGCTGGTTGATGCAGCGGCACTGGTTCATTACAGGACGAGATCGGAGCCGTATTAGGAAGCCGGTTGAAGCGTTGCACGATGCGCCTGCCTTTTGCTTGCTCAAAGATGCGGCACTCTTTGATGAGGGAGTCACCTGTTGTGCAGCTCTTACATAAAAAGAAGTTGAATGCATCGTCGGAGATGCCCTTCATAATGTGTCTGACCTTATCTTCCTCCGGCATGCTGTCATTGGATTTTCGGGAAAGTGCCAGAACATCCTGAATGTAAGAAATGTACGATTCGGTGGACGTCTGGGCACGAGACGCGAGCTCCTTCTGGGCTTCTGCTTGGCGTCCGATTGGTCTCCCAAAAAGATCTCGTAGCCTCTCTTTACAGATGTTCCAACTTGTAAGTTCAGCTTCGTGCGTCCCAAACCACGCCTTTGCGGTGTCACCCAGATAGAATATCACGTTCGCCAGCATAAGTTGGGTCCCACCTGAAACTGTTGGCGACGTGCTGGTACACCGACAGCCACTCATCAACGTCGACCTTGCCAGTGCCGGTGAAGATTCCCGGGTCACATAGCGGAGGCATGACGTATTGCACTGGTGCCCGAGCGACCGGTGCACTTTCGTTAGCCATAGTAGCGGAACCGATGTGACGTCCGCTGCGGAGATCCAGCTCTGACATCCGTAGAGACGCACCCAGCACTTCCAACAAAATGATACGCGTAGAGTTGCAGTTGCGGGCGTAGTAGGCGATTGCGACACAATCAGTTCGGAGCCCGAAACGCTTCAACCTCTTCTACAGCGAGACGCGTCCTCTAGTTGACACTGGTACCAACACGTACGTAAC